ACCAACTAAAAGTATTAGGTGTGTCCCGCGCGCTCATATGACCTTATGCAGTTGCAAGCGCCGTAAAACACTTACCAAAACAAAACAAAACAAACAAACTTCATCTAATAGAGATAGCCTACATTATTTTGTCATTCTCTTAAAAGTTGAGTTCTGCATTTTCAGAAGCCGGCTCTGCTTGTCATGGCCAACTCAGACTGGGACTGGGAGGGATACGACATCTCAGTTGACATATGAAGAACCCCTCACCACCCCCACAACAACAACAACAAAACAACAAACAAATAAAAAAATAATAAACAACAACAAATAAACAACAAAATCTAAACAACAACAAAAAACAACAACAACAAAAAACAACAACAACAACAACGACAACAGAAAGAAACTCCCCACTTAGGAATCAACTCTCAATCTCATGTCGTCAGCGCACAATGCGAGAAACCTCACCACTTCACCACGTAGATCTCCGAATTCAGTTGACTCAAAGCATAAGGACTACATACTATACTATAATAATCATCATCATCATTGCCTTTCTCACCCTGCGCCAGGATAAAGAGGCCACGGACAAACACTTTCCACCTATCTCTATCCTAGGTTAGCCTTGATGTTATCCCATGTCTTCCCACTTTTCTGAACATCAATTTCTGTGATTCTTCTCCAGGTCCAACGAGGTCTTCCCCTTGATCTCTTACTATTTATATAATAATAACACATGTAATACTATAGTAGACCCATTGTGTGTGTGTGTGTGTGTGTGTGTGTGTGTGTGTGTGTGTGTGTGTGTGTGTGTGTGTGTGTGTGTGTGTGTGTCCAACCCACTTCATAAAGATTTTGTTTTTACTTCAATAAGAATATACATGCACATGTATTTTTTAACAAAATGTATGGTAACGTGGCTTTTTTCAAAGAGCACGGGATTATTTCCCCTCTTCCAAGAATTCAGGGCACGAATCCGAGCATTTGGGTATAGAGGTTAATTGTAGGTGGTTAGGCGGGTGCTCTGATGTTTGCGCCTTCTTTCCAATCAAATATTTATTGCCTTTATGATCTGTATGTCTTCTCCTTCTTTTCTTTATACATATATATATATATATATATATATATATATATATATATATATTATTATTATTATTATTACTCTCTTGTAACACATCTAATCTTGGAAACGTATAATTTAGTATATGACCTAATTGTGTTGCTGCAATCGCTGTAAAACTCACACTACTAAAACTATAAGTCAACAAAGAGAAGTCATAAAAAGAAGCAGTTCGCTCGTCTTGAAGTTGAAGAAGTTGATGAACAGACTGCCTTCAACTGGCACACGGGTTTGTGTCGCACCTTTGACTTCGGTTTAACGATTTGTTCGTCACTGGAGGAATCTATTTCTTCACAGCTGGCATTGCCATGCACGCCACGGGAGAACGAGGGACGACGTCTCCAGGCATCTGTTGTTCTTGGCCCAGAAACGATTTCATCATAAAAGCTCTTAAGAAGAGCTTCATCCTGAAAAGTAATTATAATATTAATAGACAGTAGTTGATTTGAGAATGAGGGGTGTGCTGAGGTCTGGTAAATACTTTTTGCAGAGAGTAACTTTGATGGTAGGCCTATACATGTACATGTATGCCCTACAAGTATGTAAGTGTAGTGTAGTGTAAGATTTTAACTTGAACGTCTGTATTCACAGATAGGTAAAAGAATTAGAAATGCCTCGGGCGCGCCTTTCTTTATCACAGTTGATACGTTTATTGGGCCAGGCTACGGAGTGGATGACCCTGTTTCGAATTCCGAGTCCGAGTGGACCGTTTTTTTAAACTTATTCAGGTTGTTTGAGACGGTTTTCAAGGGTCTCCAATTTCTTGGCACAGTGCTATTTCTGAGAGGAATTTACTACAGTATCTATAGCTGATAATTGATAAGATCGTATTGACGTGATCTCTCTCTCTCCCTCCCTCCCTCCCTCTCCCTCTCTCTCTCTCTCTCTCTCTCTCTCTCTCTCTCTCTCTCTCTCTCTCTCTCTCTCTCTCTCTCCCTCCCTCTCTTTCTCTCTCTCTCTCTCGTAACAAAAGAGTCGTAACTAGCTGAGCAAGTATTACTTACTTCCAATTAACTAATACTAATGTTTTTAAAAATGACATTATAAAATAAAGCAATGCTTCTTTTTATTTGAGAAAAGTACATCAAATTGACACTACGCCATTCCTTTGGAGATGAAAAAGAGCAAGACCAATAGAATCAAGTCTATACCGAGACACTGAGGGAGTACAGAAATAGCAGAGAAGGAGAGGGCCACTACTGAATCCTCCAACCATAATGTACTCTTTTAAAAAAAAGCGAGTTCATTATTCCTTACAATGTAAGTTACACACACAAGACTTAAGACGCTGAATGGACTGTTTAATGGTCTGAGCAACAGCATAGCACACGAACAAAATACATTTATGAGTGTTGAAAAGACAAACGTGAACAGCTTTCTGACAATATATGACATAATGGATAAGTAAGTAGGCCTATATCATTTGTTTGAAAGTTTGGAAAGTGCCTCTTCTTTTTAAACAAAAATCCATAAATAAGAACAATGTTCGAAAAAAACAACAACATAAATATAAGTAATAACAATGCTCAAGCATAACATACATCTGTTGTAGACCAAAAAATGTAGCTATCCTACTTGTGTCATGGTCAAGCGCAACATCATAGTAAATTTTTTTTTTTTTAGTAAGAGTTTTACGGCACTTGCAACACAATAAGGTCATATAAGTGTCAAAGACTAGAGGTGTTACAAGAGAGTAACTGCACCTCATGGTAAGGCTCACAGGACGTCACAATATATATAACTCCTACCCTTGGTCCTCAAATAAAAAGCAATTCATTTTTTTCCCCCAACCCAGTTTTAGTAAGAGTTTTGATTACGGCACTTGAAACACAATTTGGTCAAATAAGTGTCGTCGAAGATTAGAAGCGTTACAAGAGAATAACACACACAAAACAGAAGGAGGAGAAATGAGGGATGAGAGATGTTTGATAGGAAAAAAGAAGCAAACCACACCAGAGCACCCGACAACCACCCGCTTTTCCAACCCAGTCTGAGCAATCAAAAGCACACTGACATAACAATGGCCATTTAGTGCAACGGCAAAAGCAAGCTAAGTGGGAAGAATCAACAGCAAACTGACAGTAGATCCAGGATCCCAGAAGAACATATATATATAGGCCTACAAACTGCTGAGGATCAAAAGTTCCTTTTCAAAATGGCGCATGGTTGAGTTTTACACCAAGCAATCAGTAGGCCTACAATGTATTGTGGTAGGCCTACAACACATTCAGTGAATACAGCTGTCACTGTCATTGACATATTTAATGACAGCTCATTTTCCAGAACTCACTAGGAGATAAATAAGCAGAGGGAAGATATGAACAGAGTGAGTAATCGACAGCAAGTCAACACGATAGGGCTACACTTCACCACTAGGAGCAGGTTACATATACTGAGTTTCTTTAACCCTAATCGTAATGCCCTGAGGTAATTTTGTACCCCCTGGGGTTGTATTCTTCACATTTTACAATACTTCTAGTATGAAGATCTCTTTGAAACTTTCTCAAAAAATCATTTTGACAGACTGCTATGCAAAGCGTACGGATTGGATTAATGAGAGTAATTTCCTCTTAGGAAAGTGGTGGCACAGAGTTCCCCCACGTCGTATGGATAGGATAGTAAAACACAACGTATGGATAGGGTCAAGTAAAGTGAAGGGTACGGGCACAATGGTGGTCATTTCGTGTTGGGAAAGAGTAACACAGACAAAGACAACAAAAACCTGTGGGACAGGTGAAAACCTGGTGAGCATTTCTGTCCCCAAGTCAGAAGAAAGGGGGAAAAAGAAAAGGAGGAGGAAGAAGAAAAGAAATAAGACTACAGGCAAGTAAGAAGGTGAAGAAAACAAAGAAAAGAAATTAAAAAAAAAAAAGAAAGAAAAAATCAGAAAAGAAGAAGAAGAAAAGTGGTCAAAACAAAACATATGTGTCACGACGCGGTGAAATCAGACGCTCGTCAATTTTTGGGCACGTGGAGTCACTGATACCATCTTAACGCTTGTTCACTTGTCTTGCATTCGATGGAAAAAATACCCATATATCTTGAGGACAAGTTGAGATTTGCGCAACTGGTAAAGGTGGGGTCACCTGCTTTCTGAAGTAAAATTATCGAGAAAATGGCTGGCAAAGTTTTATAACTGCAATGGCTTGAGAGTCCTTGTGACATGGAAATTTGCATTTTTGTGACTTTAATTAACGTTCTTCAGTATAATCCAAACAGAAATGTGTTTTAAATGAACATAAAAGGTGTTGAGCCAAAAAAAAATTGCCCATGGGCCAAAAAAATACTGTATTCTTTGATTTCATTATTTTGCCGAGCGCCTGATTTCACCACGATGCCTCACATAATATGTCTATTGAATCTACTCGCTCCATAACGTTCCTGGTAATTTTTTTTCATCCATCTTTGTTTCAAAATCAAGAAACTATCACCTGCATACAAAATGAATGGCACATACGAATACGAGCGTGTATGTTATGAAAGGAAACAATATACAACGAAAATCCAGAAGTTTACAGAAAAGGAATATTCACCAGGAATCTGCACTGAATACACATAACTTAATATTACAAACAAACTGAAAACATAAAGGATAATATTCATAAATTGTAACAGTAACAGATAACAAACCAGGGGCACATAACAATTCAATGCATAACGATAGAAGATCAAAATTTATCATTCTGGACAAAAGGCCAAACGAAGTAACAGCAAAAAGAAAATCTGGTCTTGAGACCTCCCTGACATATCACACATAACAATCAGGTTCCACGCCATGCTCAAAGAACATTCCAAAACTTCGCTCAAAGAACATTCCAAAACTTAAAAAGAAAGAAAGATAATGAACTCAAGGGTAAGATATATATAAGCCGCCAAAACTCTGGCGTCCTACGATCTATTCGTTGAACATTTGATAGATTTTAAAAAAGAATAAAAACAGCGATTTCTTTGGCCCTCTTCCAATTAATTATTTGGAGTAATTTGATTGTCAAACAACACGCACTAACACTAATATAGAGAAAAAGACAAGAAGCTATTTCCCTGTCTCATCAGACAAAGTAGGCCTATTACACAACGTGTGCTGCCATCAGAAAAAAATTAGTTCTTTTTTTTCAGTTTCCAATTTAGCAGCCATCAGATTTCAAGCACTTCAACCCGATTCAAGAAGAAAGAAAGTTAAAAAAACAAACAACCCAACATTTAAAAACCAATAAAACAATATAAGAACAGTCTTAGACGTTTACCTGACACTTTGCAGTCACTGACACTAGCAACATTCCAACATTCTGTTAAACAAACCCTCAGTCTCGCCACAAAGTTCTTTATTCTATACAATTATCTCAAAATACAGTAGAAGAACACAGATAACACAAACACACAAAGCTTGAAATCATCGACAGCTTGTTCAATCTATCATCCCCGCCCCATCTGATTTTAGTCTTTCGTTGTCGGTTCACCCTTCCGAATCATGGATGCACCGAGCACTTTTTATCTATCCCTGACGTGTTTGAGTTACCTGTGCCCCCCCCACCATATAAATATCCTCTAAGTCTCACATCCAGAAAACTCTTTATCCTTCACACAAACAACAAACGGGATTGAAAACGCAATAACCCGAGAACTACTTTACTTTCTTGGCCTCTACTACGACTGGAGGCGGAACGTTCCAGTAATAAAGGATCTGTCCCAGAATGAGCCCGTTCATGACGGAGGCGAGGACGTAGGACGCCACCACCATCGAGTCGCCCGTCTCCTGGATGGAGGTGAAAACGCGGGCCACGGCGCCCAGGGACAGGAGGAGGAAGGTCACGAACGACAGCTGGCCCGTGCCTCCGTTACGAACATTGGCCACGGCTTGCAGCATCTGGGGACAGAAAGAGAGGGACTTTAGTTTGGTATAGAGTTTAGTTTTAGTAAGAGTTTTACTGCACTTGCAACACAATAAGGGTCATATAAGAGCGGAAGATTAGAGGTGTTACAAGAAAGTAACAAACACAAAATAGAAGGAGGGAGATAAGAGTGTCGAAGGAGGTGTTGTTACTTTAGAATAACATACAAAGAAAAAAAGGAGGCGACACGATGATAGATGTTCGATAAGAAAGAAAGGGGCATCTATACCTGAGCAGCCGCCAACCACCCACCATGTGGGGACAGAAAGGGGCAACATGATATTGATTCAATTGAGTAAAGAGATGGACATGGACAGGGGAATGGCTATTTAGGAAAAGGGAAAGATCATCATTAGTACCTCTCTCAGCCCATGCTGGGGTACAGGCCACCGAGAGCTCTCCATCTCCATCTACTTCTGTCCTGTGCTACAGTCTCCACCTCTTCCCAACAAAATCTCATATACTCATCTCCTCTTGGTCTAAATTCAATTTAAGTCCCTCTCCACCTTTTTCCAGCTAAAACCCGGTATCTCCTTAAGAAGGTCCACATCTAACCACTAAGCACATTCTCAAAATATTTTTAGGCCTTCCTCGCTTTCTCTTTCCTTGTGGATTCCATCTTAACATTTGGAAGGCAATATTAAATTTGTTGGTTTCCCAAGGCAAGCCCAATTCACTTCCATTTTAAAAAAAGCAAAAATAGACAGATATAAAAGGGAGAAAGAAAAGAAGAAGACAACGGCACTTTGGAACCACTCGTCAACAATTTATAACATGTCACTGAAATAGAAAGAAACACAGAAAAGAAAAGACATGCCTATTACTCCTCAGAAATTTTTCCAACAATGGCATACATGACACACTAAGCAACAACAAATGAGCTGTTTTTATGGCAAAAATTGAAAAATATATTCATAATCTGTCTGTCTGTCTAGTGTCCTTTCACTATGGAATAACAAAAAAAGTGTGAATAAGATAATACTTTTTTCCCCTGACATTCTCAAGAGTTAAATGCAAACGACGACTATTAGTACACTTCAACAACTTTGACTTCTACACGCGCACACATTAAATTCCATTGTCTTTTCAGCA